GAGGGCCAAACAGAGAAATAAAAGCTAAACATACAGTAAATGGTGTGGCTCAATGCTCCTAGAAAAAGTTCTAACACTAAGGCGACACGTTTGTCTGTAGGGAAAGCAAGTATACAAACACATGTCGTCCACATAGCTAACATAATGAGGTATTACATTTTATCTCTCTGTCTTTCTGTGTCTACTTATCTGTCTACATTTATTTCCCGTCATCTCACAATCTACCTAAATGCTTTTTTTGCCTCTCCTTCTACCCCTTTTGCCTTGTTCTAGCAAGGGTATTCATGATATTTTGTGTGCGTACTATACATAATTGCAATGAGTATGTTTTTTAAATATCATGCACTATTTTGATTATTATCTACTCATCATTTTTATTAATATACTTCAAAATAATGTGTACTGAAGCATGTACTTGTGCTAAAATGTGTTCAGAGCAGAATCATGTTACTCTCCATTAAGTGTCATAATGACTCTTATCATCGATATGCACACTTTAGTGGGTGCAGAGACATTAACCAATCACAGTGTTGACCTGTTGCCTGGAGATAATGTTAATGTGGAGGACAGACTGAACATACCACAGATTTATGTATAAATACTGGCGCACACACTCAGAGTGCTGGTGGTCTCCATGCTGACGCCTGTGTGTGTCAATTTGGGTGGTCAGCAGTAGAAAGTGTATAACTAACTGCATGCCCGTCGTGTTCGGGATGTCTGCTTGTGCCCCTCCTGGCTCCATATCCGCTGTCAGAGAGTGTGTGTGCGTGAGAGCGTAACACACACATTTCTGCTTTCCTCATACGTCAACCCAACTGTCATCTGCCTTGTGGTTTTCGACTTATTCTGCTACACTTACTGTAGGTAGCTCAGGGTATGAGCTACATAGCTCAAATGTCTTCTTTCTTGATAGCTACAGCCGCTTCTCTTCTGCTAGCAGCACGTACAGTGAGCCTGCCAGCTGTCCTTGTGTCTGCCTGACTCTCCTGCTCTCCTTTTAGAGGGTTTTATGAGCACAGGTCTGCCTGCCAGCCAATCTGCATGGCCTGCTATCCATCCCCGAGCCTCTATACCTGCTCCCCTATCAGTCAGTCAATCTGTCACCGGTCCCTGGCACTGATAGTGTCACCAAGGCAGAGATAAGGGGCTGGGGAGAGGTGACGGGGGGGTGAAGGAGGCCGGACAGAGGGAGATAAGGTAGAACTTAAGTAGGGGATGAAAGGAGAGATGTACTGAAGGGGAGATGCAGATGAAAACAAAGATAAGGAGTGGGGTAAAGAGGTGAGAAACAAACAATAAAAAAGAAGTAGACAAAGAAAAGACATACGGCACCTTAAATGTTAAAATAATTAAGACTAATTCGTACTACTATTCAACTATTTGGACATATGCTTTACTTATTGTTTACCTATTTAAAATGCATCATGAATAATTGAAATATTTGAAGCTTTTGAACAATTTGTCAAATTAAATTGTACCAAAAGTAAATTGAAAAAAACCTTCAAATAGAAAGTAAATACCGTAATAAGAAGCAGAACAGGCCAGTGGACAATAAGATATATGATAGGAGAATATATGTTTCTTTATTCAACTTGAAATATAGAATAATGTTAGCATTACTCTATTAAACGTACATTTTATTCATTAGGATTTATAGCAAATGACACTGGTTGAAACCGCAAAAACAAATCTAATGTAGTTATTTAACAACTGTAGAAATTAGTGAAATACAATAAGACAATGTTGATTAAAGATAAATAAAAAATTGATTAGAATAGGCAAAGAGGATTAGAAGCTGTCCAGAATTTAAAAGACCATATGGCACATAAAATACCTCATTACCTATCTTCTCTTCCACCTAAGTGCACTTTCATTCGTTACAGTTATAAACTGCTGTACTGGATCGGATGGCTCTGACCAATTTGTGCTTATTGGTTGCCTGTGCCCTGCTTAGATTTCTTTGTGATGCGCCGCCACGGCCAGTTGGCAATGATAGACTGGAAGTAAAGTGGAAAAACATATGGAAAAAATTGTCACGTTTATTGGATCCATGAGACGATTGGTGTTGAACAGGTGCTGGAGAAAGCTGGAAATATTTAAAGTTTGACTTCATCTTTTTAATAGGGTATCTTCTGGGCCGTTGGCTAGAAAAAACAAGCAATTAAAAAGTTCCCTTTGTCAAGGAAATGTGATGGGTACTTTTCATATTGTTCAGACTAAACGAATAATCGATCAGTCTAAAGAAAAAAATAACTTGACAGATTCATGAGAATAATCATTAACTGAAGATTTATAGCCTTGGGAGGGTTGCCATATTGGAAACGGGGTGGAAATCCAGTGGGGATCTTTAGGGAATCCACTGTAAATCCGGTGACAAGTTTGGAATTCTCCCTCCAGGAAACCCAGTCAGCACTGCACAGCAGCTGGGGATTATGGGGTAATGAGGATGGAACCTATTACTGGCACACACACACTCACATACACACTGCAACCTAAACGCAGAGCCTTCTCTTAATCACCCCTCCCAAACCCCACGTACTCTGGAGGAGGCAAATTGGCACACAGCTGGAGATGAGTTAAGACCAAATGAGGAGGCTGGTGGTCTGCGTTCATGTATGTGTGTTACAGAGACAGGGAGAAAGATAGAAACAGATGCAATGCATGAGAACAGCTTCCTGGCACATGCAACAACTAGTTTAACATAATTGAGAGAGTAATCAAAGCAAAGCGAAATAATTGAAAACGTTCCAAGCAGAACGGAAAAGCTTTTGGGGCTCAGTTTGAAGTGAAATTCAACTATGCAATACCTGTTAGGGGGCGACTTAGTTATGTTGTTAGCTTTGTCTTTAGTGCAACGTTAAGGTTGGATAGTACCAGTGCTGGTAGAGGTACTCAGATCTTTTAAGTAAAAGTAGCAATACTAAATTGTAAAAATACTCTGTTACAAGTAAAACTCCTGTGTCTAAAATCTCACTTCAGTATAGGCATACATTATTATGTATTACACCTTTAGGGTTTTTTTCCCTTTCTAGTGTGTGATATAGGATTTTGTGCATGTAAACAGTCTGCAAAGGCCAAAATCCCAAAGTTCACTCAAGAGGGGGTTTCTCTTACACATCCCCCCCCCCCCCCC